GCGTCTGGAAATTCTTGCAAATTTGGGGTCTTGGCCCTTACGAATGCTTGGTCACCCCCAGGGGCGCGAAGATAAACGCGGTTCCCGCGCCCGAAAAACTGGAGCATCGATCGACGACGATGGTCGACGAAGAAAATTTGCATGCACGTGAAATTCTGGAGCTCCTCGCGCGCGCGGATTTCTTGAATCGGCGTTAGCCCCTCCTGGCGGCGCCTCCAGCGCCGTCCCTTGCGCGCTCCGCGCGACGGGGAGGGAGGTCCAGAGCAGATACAAGAAATCCGCGCAGATCTCCGAAAGTTCATGTTTACGCAGTTGTTAGTTGTCTAGCTTGCCTTGCCCCAACTCGGAGCGGACGATCTCACGGAGAGATAGGAGTCGTGTCATCCAGCCTTGTCTTGTCCGCAGCACAACGGCGCCTGATGTGTTTCCCTCGTAACCTTTTATGCGTCCGCCCTTGCGAGACCAGGGTGAGCTGACACGACTCCACTCTTCTGAATGAGAGTTGCATTGCTTTTACCAAGCTTTTTTGCTCCCATGCGCCGAAGAGCTTGGCTCCCCACCAGGGCCAGTGCCGCGGGCCCTTGCGGCATGCCTGCGGGCGATGGGCTGTCCCGACAGCATTGTTTCCGCCCCCATGAAAGTACAGTCAAAACTCATAGTAAGGACGCACGGATGTCCTTAGCCCGTTTTCGTTGGCCAACCCTTTCAGGGTGTTGGCAGTTCGCCGCCCAGAAGGTGCCGATCTCGGCGTCCGAGGTCCCTGCGTCCCTATCACCAGTCCTTACCATGGATTTTCACTGTAGCGCAGGTCTCCGCCCTTTCCACCGCCTACCCCTCGCGCCAGCCTTTTGCTGGCCTTCCCAGGGGGTGGGCTCTCTGCTCGGCTCCTTGGGCCTTTGCTTTCTCCAAGCTTCTGTGCCAGGGCCAGGCATGGGCCCTCTCCTTGCCTGGGCGTCGCACGGTGCTTCCTGCTGCTTCGCGCGCGTGACTGCGGCAGAGAGGGGTGCCGACCTCAAGCAATAACCACTCTAGCCATGAAGGAAGCGGGTCCTGAGTAAGAAGGGCCCTTATTGGTTCGTCGTGCTCGGTCTCTCGGGGCTTTGCCAGGGACCAGGGCCGTCAGAGCACTACGTACTCGGATCGAACAGCCGTGCGCAGGGACAGCCCTGGGGTCTTCAGGACTTGGTACCATCGTTGCCCCTTTCCGTCATGGCGCAGCTCCTACTTCTCCTTCTCCGCCTCTTTGTCTTTTCCCACGTTTTGCTCCTCCTCGTTCTCCTTTTTCCTTATCCTTCTCCTCTTGCTCAGGTGCATGATTCGTTGGCATCGAGATTTTAGCGTGCTGTCAGTATTCATGGTCACTCGGGGGACGGGTCGTGGTGGACGAGTGAGGCCGACGATGTGCATCAGCAAGCGCTCTCCCGAATACATGCGCGCCCCTCCAGCTATCGCTTCAGGAGATCAGGCAATTGTCCGAGGCAGAGCTTCTCTCTTTGGTGTGTCTGCGGATGAATGTGTGGTTGGTGACAGGTGTGCCACCCTCTGTACGCGCAATCACTTGTGATGCAATGCTTGGTATCCACTGTCTTCCATGCCGCTTGTCCTGTGCATTTGCATCTTGGCGACCTTCGCGCGCTGCTTGGGCAGAGTCGCGTGCGCTGTCCCACTGGTTTCATGCAACTTCCACAGTCCCAAGACTTCATCATATGCATCGGTTGCTATTCCTCGGTTCGTTTTGCATCTTCAGTTCCACCCGCATGTACAATATATTGATTGTTCTACTCATTGTGTTCATATTGTGTCTGTTTGGAAAGGGTGAAGCTGGATAACAACTTGATATGGTACAGCAGTCTCAGGAGGCACCCCGCCATCCAGAGCTGAGCAGGGAATTGCCTCCCCCGAGACAGGGACTTCACTATTCTGGTGTCAGGGTCGCTGTCTCTTCAAAAAGATAAGGGGGTCACGTTTTGGTTTCATCTAAAGCAAAGACGCTGAATTATTAACTGCTTTGGGTTCGGAAGGGGCTCGATGTTCCGTAGGTCCGAAAGAGCGTGTTCTGCCGCTGATGGCAGAAAACCTGGGGGGGTCGCTTGGGGTTTCACCCCACCCTCACACCCTGGTCCATCATCAACCGGGGGGGGTCATTACCGGTTCGACCCCCCCCCCCTCTCCTCGCCGCCTGTAGACACTTCCCCCTCATCCTCCATTCCAGATGGAGGACTGTGGTGGGGACAGTGGTTGGGACGGTGGTGGGGATGGTTGTGGGGAGTGGGGACAGTGGGACAGCGGTGGGGACGGTGGTGGTGGGGACAGTGGTGAGGGCGGTGGTGAGGGCGTTGGTGGGACAATGGGACAGTGGTACAATGGGGACAGTGGTGGGGACAGCGGGGACAGTGCGACAGTGGTGGGGGCACTGGTGGGGACAGTGGGGACAGTGGTGGGAAAAGTGGGGACAGTGGGACAGTGGTGGGGACGGTGGTGGTGGGGACAGTGGTGAGGGGACAGTGGGGACTGGTGGGGACAGTGGGGACTGGCGGGGACAGTGGGCACAGTGGGACAGTGATGGGGACGGAGGTGGTGGGGACAGTGGTGAGGGCGGTGGTGAGGACGGTGGTGGGACTGGTACAGTGGGGACAGTGGTGGGGACGGTGGGGACAGTGGGACAATTGTGGGGACAGTGGGGATTGGGACAGCACAGACAGTGGGGACAGTGGGACAGTGGTGGGGACAGTAGGAACAGTGGGACAGTGGTGGGGACGGTGGTGGTGTGAGGGCGGTGGTTAGGACGTTGGTGGGACAAGGGGACAGCGGTACAGTGGCCACAGTGGTGGGGACAGTGGGACAGTGGGGACCGTGGTTGGAAGCAGTGGACAGTGGGACAGCACAGTGGGACAGCGGTGGGGACAGCGGGGACCGTTGGGACAGTGGGACAGTTGTGGGGACTGCGTGGACAACGGGGAAAGTGGGACCGTGGTGGGGACAATGGTGGGGGCAGTGAGGAGAGTGCGACAGTGGTTGGGGCACTGGTGGGGACAGTGTGGACTGTGGTGGGAGTAGTGGAAACAGTGGTACAGTGGCAGGGACAGTGGGGACAGTTGGACAGTGGCAGGGACAGTGGGGACAGTTGGACAGTGGTGGGGACGATGGTGGTGGGGACAGTGGTGACGCGGTGGTGAGGACGGCGGTGGGGACCCGTGAGTCGTTTGCCGGCGGCGAGTGGGGGGGGTCGAATTGGTAGTGACCCTCCCGGTTTTCCAGGGTGGGGGGTTGTTCGAACGGGTAGGTACCCCCCCTGATTTTCGAAGGGGAGGGGCGGGGGGGTTGGGAGGGGGGGTGGGGTTGCTTGGGGAGGGGGTGTGGGTGGGGAGGGTTTCGAGCAGGGGGGGGATTTTTGGAGGCGGGGGACCCCGGGTTCTGGAGGAAGAGGGGGATTTTTTACAGCAAAGCGGCGGTGGATCACGCTCCCTCTTAGGTCCGTACATTTCTGTTTCTCTACCGCTCCTCGTTCCTTTTCTAGCGTCCTCTCGTGGGCTAAAAAGAGGCTTCGTTCCTTATCTAGCGTCCCTTGTTTCAGCAGTCCGAATGTACTTTCCTGACAGCTTGTACTTCTGACTTGTACGTTCGAGCTACTTGTTTGCGGGACTCGGGGGCGCCTCTGCTGTTGTTTATTGTGTCCAACCGCTCCCCGTCAGGATTACGACGATGACGACGACTACGACGACCAGGACCTACGGCATCTCTCCTCAGGTCAATTGTGAGGTCGAGATGCGTATACCATGGTGAATGTCTCCAGTCGCGTTGCCGTGAAGATTCGACACCGCGCCTCGGGAAAAATGGAAGCGGAAATGCAGAGTGAAAGCGGACCCTCGGGTCCGCCAGTCCGTGGGGCAGCAGCAGCACAGCGGGAGGCAAGGGTCTGGAAGGTCCAGGGCCCGTGCACATGTGGTGTTATTCGGTGCTTGCTCGAGCGGTCGTGGCCGAGGTTTGCATTTCGTCATTGTCGCTTCGCATGTCTCCGTGTGGCGCAATGCGCACGCACACAACATCCAGCTGCCTTCGGCAAGTTGGCTACCGTGCCATTCCAGCATTCGACGGGGGCACGGGAGGCCGTCACGTGTGCTCTGGCAAGCCGTGATGAGGATTCTGAGGAGAATGGGGATGTTAATACCAATACTAATCGATGATGTTGGTCACGTTTATGATGATGATGATGATGATGATGATGATGATGGTGGTGGTGGTGGTGGTGATGATGATGATGATGCTGATGATGATGATGATGATGATGCTGATGTTGATGCTGATGCTGATAATGGTGCTGATGACGGTGATGATGATGGTGATGATAGTTATGGTGATGATGGTGGTGATGATGATGATGATGGCGATGTCAATTGCGATGATGATGTTGATGATGACGATGATTATTATGCTGATGGTGATGCTGACGAGGATTGACGATGATGTCGGTGATGAATCTGGGGATGATCATGGTGATGATGATGGTGCTGCCAGTATGATGATGATTATTAGTATGATGTTGTTGTTGATGATGATCATGATGCTGACGTTGATGATGCTGCTGCGCTGAGGTTGCTGTTGCTGATGATGATCACCATCATGATGATGCTGATGATGATGACGATGATGGACGATTGCGGCGATGGTGATGGTGATGTTGATTGTAATTGGTGATGATGATGAGATTGATGCTGATGATGATGACGCTGATGCTGATGCTGATGTTGATGATGATGATAATGATGATGCTGCTGATGATGATGATGATGATGATGCTGGTGTTCACGATGTGTGTTGGTGGTGGTGGTGATGCTGCTGCTGCTGCTGATGATGATGATGATGATGATGATCATGATGATGATGCTGATGCTGATGCTGATGCTGATGATGATGATGATGATGATGATGATGATGATGATGATGATGATGATGAAACTCGGTCGGGCCGTCTTGCCTCCTGTATTGCAGTCTTTCAGGTCCGTCCCTTGGAGCCTTCTTGGGCCTTTTTGGGACCGGCACTCTTACATCGGCTTGGGTTTCTCTTGGGCCTGTTGGGGCTTTCTGGATCGTATGGTGGGTGTCTGAGCGCTGTCGTGGGGCCGTCTCGGCGGTGTCTTGGACCGTCGGATGGCCTTCTGAGGCCGCCTTGGGTCCCACGGGGGACCCTTCTGGTCGTCTTGGAGCCCTTGTGGGCCATTGTGGAGTCCCCTTGGGTCATCTTGAGCTGACGGCAGCCTGAAAAGGCGAGAACGCTGCGAAATTCACTGAAAAACCCAAGCGGGATCAATGGTTTTGGCTTCTTCAGACTCTGTTGGAGGTCCGCTTGTTGCCCGTTTGGGCCCTCTTGCAGGCATTTTGGAACGTCTCGAAGCAATGTTCGGCCGCCTTGGGGCCATCCTGGGCCGTCGTCAAGGCATCTTGGGCTATCTTGCTGTCCTTGGTTGCCTGCACGGACCGTCTTGGCAGCCCAGGACGCGTGTCCATAGTTCCCAACCATCCTGTGGTGTTGGGTCCTTGCTTTGAAGACACAGCGCCGCCCCGCGTCACCTCCTCCCGCCCTTCCTTCCTTCCCCCCCCTCCTCCCTCCTCTGCTTCTGCCCTCCGCACCAGTCAACAATTTCGGCACACCCCTCACACGTTGCGTGGCCCCATAGGGAGCTCCACCGAGCACCCCAGTGGCTACTGGAGCCGTCGGCGTCAAGGAGGTCAGGAACCTCGGGCGGGGTCCACGCCGAGGGCGGAGCCAGGTCCAACGTCGTGCGCATGATGAGGATCGCGCACAACAGGATTGGGATACCTCGCATCAAACGACTCTTCGACCTTCGGCGAGGGCGAGCGGCTGCTGCGAAGGTGGTCTCCACGGGGATGGCCCCCAGTCTCTTCTACGGGGTCAACTGCACGGGGCTCAACGACACCGAGCTCAGGCAGTCGCGCACGGTGGTCAGGCATGCGATCGAGCCGAGACCGCAGGGGAAGTCCTCACAGCTTGCTTCATGGTCGGGGGCTCGGACACGTTGAACCCGATCTTCCCTGCCACGCTCGGGCCCTGCTTCTCCCTCGCCAGGGCCATCTGGGAGAACTGTATTCCCATTTGGCAGCTGGAGGCAGCGTTCGACTGGACGGCCAACGCCACAACCAAGTGGGAGAAGGCGAAGGGCCCCCTTGGAGCGGCAATCCTTTCGCTGCGGAGGGGCGGCTACAAGGTGAAGAACATGCGTGAGCTGATCAGACCGTCGGGCGAGGCGCTGGACCTCCACGACATCTCCCCCTGGTACTTCAAGAAGGTTTTGATCATGGACAGTAAGATGTGGCAGCTGAAGCAGCTCGCCACCAACCCGCACGGCGACATAGTGCAGGGAGCCTTCATCCCGAGCGTCAGGCTCTGGATCAACAACGGCAAGGGCGACACCTTGGAGGCACGCGAGTGGAAGAGCCTCACCTTTGACGAGCGGGGCTACCTGCGGTCCGTGGTGGTACAAGGGCAGCGGCCCAATGGTCGGCGATACCATGCGTCGCCGAGGCTGGCGGCAACACCTTGCTGCCGGCTCCACCCTGCTGTGCCTGGCACGCTCTGGCATCGGCACTTGGAGTGCCAGGAGAGCTGGCCAGATCACAGGCTGCCAGCCGAGACTGCGAAGCTTTCGGCCTTCCACGCGAGCATCGCGATCAAAACCTTCCAGTGGACCGGCTCCTCCTGTCCGAGCCTGCGCGCGCGGAGGCCGCCAGGGGGCGACCTGCTGGCGCGCGTCCAGTAGATCAGAGGAGACGACGGCGTGCCGTTCGCCAACGCCGAGCTACGAGGCAGGGCGCTCGCTGGCCATCTCCGCTTGCGCGCTGGCCGAGCTGCCGCCTGGAGATCCGCGGGGAGACCCTGGCACCGCGTCTGTGGCCAAGGCGCTGGTCGCGCCGCTTCCTGGGCCGCCTCGGTCCGCTGACGGGGCGGAGCTTCTGGGCCTGCTCGTGCTGTTCAAGGAATCCTCGCCGCCCATCGCAGCCTCGTTCGACGCCTCCTGCGTCGCGGAAGGCCTGTTGGAACGCGGACGGGCTGCCGCCGCCGCGGCGACTGCAGCTTGGAGCCCGGTGGCGCAGGGTTTGGCAAGCTCTCGACGATTTGGGCGGACTGGGGGGGCGTGCCCTCGCGACCAAGATGGCAAAAGGGCCACGCCACGCTGAAGGGCGTTCTGGATGGGGAGATCACGCGACGCGACGCGACGGGGGAGGCAACATGGGGGCGGACAGGTGCGCCAAGTACGTTGCTCAGGCATTCCGCTCCTCGTCCGCAGGTGATCCCATCGCCTCATGCCTCGGGGCCCCTGGGCAGAGCAGAGAAGGCGACGGAGTCGAAGCTGCAGGAGCGGCCTCGGGATCTGGGCCTCGAGGCGTCGCGAGTGAGCACGACTTGTATTCCATCAGCAGGTGCTGCGCACGCAAGAGCCGCCATTGCTGCGCGCGGGGGACCAAGGGCAAACACAGGGTGCCTGGCGGAGAGTGCCAGCCTGCCGCTGGCGAGGCGCTCAGGGCCAGCAGAGGAATGTCGATCTGATCAGAGCTGGCCTGGGTCCCAAGACGGGGAGACCGCAGGGGCGCTTCGCTTCTTCCTGATGGGCGGCCTCGAGCGGCGCCTCAGGCTCTCGGTGCCGTGTCGGCGAGGGCGTGGACGGCCGCGCCCGCGCATGGCCAAGCCGCGGCCCAAGACGGGCGCCCTGCGGCGCAGTCGCGGACGGCGCGCGCAGCGCGCGCCGCGCGAGGGATGAAAAGAGAGCCCCAGTGGCTGCGCTCGCATGGCACCACCGCGTTCATTTCGGCACACTCTTCACACGCTTCGTGGCCCCATTGGGAGCTCCACCGAGGGCCCCAGTGGCTGCGCTCGCTTGGCACCACCGCGCTCATTTCGGCACTCCTCTCACACGCTTCGTGACCCCATCAAGAGCTCCACCGAGGGCCCCAGTGGCTGCGCTCGCATGGCACCACCGCGCCCATGTTGGCACGCCCCTCGCACGCTTCGTGGCCCCACAGGAATCTCCACGGAGGGCCCCAGTGGCTGCGCTCGCATGGCACCGCCGCGCCCATGTTGGCACACCCATCACACGTTTCGTGGTCCCATAGGGAGCTTCACGGAGGGCCCCAATGGATGCGCCCGCATGGCACCACCTCGGATCCTTTGCTCCGCCACAGGTGTTTGATAACCCGCGCAGGCCTGGCTCGAATGGGGCGCGCCGTCGCCGCGGCTCAGCGCCAGCGCGAGGCAACGCGTGCGCTCCGATGAGGAAACAAACCCATCTTACAATGGGCAAGAAACGCCTTCTGTTTCGTCGGGGCCCCTGTGTTTGTTCGGCTCGCGTTCGGCGTGAACGGTCGCCGCCATTTCGAAGAAACTGCGAACGCCGGGGCGCCCTGGGTTTTTTGGGCGAAGGCGCGGTTCCCGGCGCGCGCCCGAACTTCTGGAAAATTCTGGGCATTCAAGGTGCCGTAGGTTTTTTCGCCCGCGATTTTGCCTGTTCGTCGCGCGCGCCGCAGGAACCCCGGCGCATCGGGGCGCATACCCAAAAACCTTACAGATTGATTGGCCCAGAACGCAAATGAAACACTTGGCTTTTCTCGACCAGTCCTCGGGTGACCCGCCCGCTGGCGGCTCAATTGCGCGGCGTGCGCTCAACAGAGGACGCGCGTGAAATCGGAGTGCACCAACTCATATTGAGATCAGGAAGGAAAGAAGCACACAGACACAGTTAATCGTCGATTCCCAAGAAAATATGGGAAAATATGGGAAGTGGGGGGGAAGACAAAAACCCAGAAAATATAAAAAAATATGGGGAATCCTGTTATTTGTCTGTATTTATTTGTGTCCCAGGGCCCCTTCATGCGATCTCGAATGCAAGTGAAACGGCTGATGTGTCTCGTCAGTTTTTCGGGCAACCCACCCGCTGGTGGATCACTTCTGCTGCGCGTGCTCATCAGGGGAACGATGTCGAGTCGGAACGCAGCGGTTCATGCTGAGGCCCCTAATGCAAATTCAAGGATGTATTTTCAAGTGTTCGCCGATTTGATAAAGGAGCGCCAGTGTATCCGGGGCGCGCGCCTGAATCAAGTGTGCGCGCAATTTCTTTCCCGAAGAGGCGTCATCGTCGCCTCTTCTCGTTGAGCCAAGCACGAGGTTCGCATTTTCGATCGCCTTGGGTTGTTTGATACCAACTTGATTTTCACGACAGGGGTTGAGAAACCGCTGTGGTCAGGGCACCTTGGGTTTTTCATTTGCAGTTGAAGCGCAAGAAGGCTCAACCCTTGACCAACCAACTTCCGTGGATTTCAGGTTTGGGTTTCTTGCGGTGGGTTTCTTTGTGAACTAGCCTCCACTGTAAATCAGATTCGCCTTTTCATTTCCATCAGCCCCCACAATTCTAGTTTCTCTTCCTCTCAGTTCTCCCCTCTCCTTGTCCTCGGGAGCTCCGCTTGGGGGCCACCTATAAGGGGTTTCGTTGCCGTCAGGAGCATCGGCCCTCGGCCTCTTCGTTGCTGTCGCCGCCCCCTCCCCCCTTTCCCTCTGCCGTCGCCCCATTATGTCTCTCCCGGGCCAGCGTGCACGCCGCTGTCAGGACTTGGGCTCACGGGCGCCCTTCTCCTCTGACAGTGCGACTCTGTTTGCGACGCCGGCCCCCAGAGAGATAGGGTCCAGGGCTCCAGTGGAGGAAGAGGAGGAGGAGAAGGAGGAGGAGGAGAAGGAGGAGGAGGAGAAGGAGGAGGAGGAAGTGGAGGGGGAGGAGGAGGAGTCTCTCGACCACTTCCTCGGGCCCGGCTTCCCACCTCGAGCCGCTCTCTGCTGGCCCCGGGCCAGGAGGGCAGCGCCCGCGGGCGCCGCAGGCGACGAAACAGCCGGCCGCCGCTCTCCTGTGGTGCAGCGCCCGGGCCTGATGGGTCGCGAAGAGGGCCGCGAGAGAGCCCAGCCTGTTGCTGTGATCCGCCAAGGCATCCAGGGAGGAGGAGGAGGAGGAGGAGGAGGAGGAGGAGGAGGAGGAGGAGGAGGAGGAGGAGGAGGAGGAGGAGGAAGGACGGCTCCCCCCACCATGTTGCGGTCCTGGCCCGCCGTGATAGGGGCCCCTGGCGCCCTGCAAGCTCTGCTGCAGGGAGGCGGCAGCAGTCGCGGCCTCCGCCACGGCAGGCACCCGCGCGGGGCCCGGCGCGAGCCTGGGCCTGGGCGCAGGGCGCTCGCCGCAGCAGCCCCGACGGCTCCCCCTGCACAGGCGGGGCGGGGGCCTCGCCGCGCCATCTCTCTCTCTGCACGGCTCGGCCCGCCGGGCGCTCCTCGGGGCCCCCCGTCAGGGGCAACGGTAGGGGGGATAGGCATGATTCGGGGGGAATGCATCGACCCCCCATCGCCCATTGATCGCCGATAGGGGCCCGATAGCCCCACCCCGCCCAGGAAGGTGCGGACTCACTATCGGGCGCCTATCGCCGATCTATCGGCGAAGTATCGCCGATTCCAGGTCGATGCATCCCCCCCTATGCCTATCCCCCCTATCGTTGCCCCTCACCCCCGTGGAGGGCGCAGGCGCCCCGGGGCCTTTTCGGGGCCTCTCCGGGGTGGGGGGCACTCGGGGGCAGCGTCATGGGGGGATGCAGCCAAGGCGCTGAGATAAGAGCTGCTTCTGGGCTCAGGAGGGGCTCGTTTTTTTTGACGTTTCCTTCAATCCAGTGGTCGGGGGAGCCTATTCTTGGACGCGGCTGGCCGCGGCCAGGAAAGCCCCTGCGTTCCTTGGCTTGCGTTCCTTACAATAGGTAGGTTCGCGTCGTGTCGACCAGCGGCGACCCCGCCGCTCGCGTTGAACGCCGCCAGCGACCCGGAGTTGGTCCATGTTGAACGATCCGACGTTTCGGAAACCGCCGATCGTTCAAGATTGAACGATCCCCTCGGTGTCAGGAACCAACGCCCAAGTCGGCACGACACGTATGTTAGTACGCTCACTGTAGTCCGAGGAGAGTACGCATCGTCCCCCCCTCATCGCCCCTTCACTGCTGGTGGGGGCCCGACAGAGCCCGCCCTGCCCAGCAACGAGCAGGCTATACGGGGGTCGCTATCGCCGACCTGTCGGCGATGTGTCGCCGATTCCGGCTCGATGCTTCCCCCCTCGAGCCGCCCCCCCCTAACATTTCCCCCCAGCATCCAGGGCGAGCTCATGTGTCCCGTCGATCTGCTGCCAGCTGCTCCTGAGACGTGGTCTCCGTCGATGAGGTTCGGGGCTGCGCGCTGGCCGAGTGGGTACAGGGCGGAAGGCCTCAACAACTGTACCTAACTTTCGGGCGCGGAGCGCCCCATGGGCGCCGCGGATGGCGGCGAACACAGTGGAGACCCATGCCAAGAAGCACCCAGCTTGCCTCCAGGGTGCCCTGGGTTTCTTGGTTTTCGTTGGTGTTGCGATGGAAAGTGTGACGTTCCTTCGCCAAAATCCATGGACGCCCTGGGGTCTCAGGGTTGGGTTTCTTGTGGAGGGTTTCTCGTGGTCGGGCCCTCGCTGTAAGGCCTCGGCGCCTTGCGGCTCCCGACGACGCCTGCGACTGCGACGCCGCCGACGGCGGGGCGCCGCGCCGCGGCGGCAGCCGGCGGCGGCGGCAGCCGCGCGCCGCGCGCCGGAGAGGACGCCACGCCCGCGGCGGCGTCGCAGCTCCCGGTTGCCGCGGCGGCCACTTCGTCGAGGGCGGCGGGCTACCCCGCGGCCGCCGCCCCGCCCGCGGCCGCCCGCGCGGCAGCAGTGGCGGTGACGGGAGGAGAAGGAGCAGGAGGAGGAGGAGGAGGAGAGAGGGGAGGAGGAGGAGGAGGAGGAGGAGGAGGAGGAGGGAGGAGGAGGAGGAGGAGGAGGAGGAGGTGGGAGGAGGAGGAGGAGGAGGAGGAGGAGGAGGAGGAGGAGGAGGAGGCGGAGGAGGAGGAGGAGGAGGAGGAGGAGGAGGAGGGGGGGAGGAGGAGGAGGCGGGAGGCGGAGGCGGAGGCGGAGGAGGAGGAGGAGGAGGAGGAGGAGGAGGAGGAGGAGGAGGAGGAGGAGGGGGCTTTCCCTGAGAGCTGGGCGTTGCAGTTCTACGCCGCACCGGGCGTTTTCGCTTCCAGTTTCGGGGCCCAGGGCCACCCCATGCCGATGCGGCTCGAAAAGTGCTGCAGGAAAATGGGGTGTCCTGGGGCTCTGGCCGTGATTTGCCACGATGCTTCGATGTTTCGCAGCGTCGGATCGCAGGGTCTGCCCTTCCCCTCCCCTACCCCTCCCTCTCACTTCTGCCCTGCTTCTTCCCCCTTTTCCCCCGATCAGGGCTTGCACTGGTTGGGGCCCTGTCGGAGATTGAAAGACTAGGTGAAGGTACGGGGCCGATTTCGGTAGGCGGGCGCGTTGCAAGTTCCCGCTTCCAGGTTTGAAATTTTGGTAGGCGGTCGGGTTCCCGAGTTCATCGTCTTGGGCCGCGAGGGAGGGGGAGGCGCGGATGTCAAGATTGTGTGGCAACAAAGGCAAAAGGGCCGAGACCGAATGAGTGTTGCAAGTCAACCTGGCCTGCGCTTCGAACCAGTTTGGGCGTGGAGAGGGGCGGGAGGGTCGCTATATTGCAGGCACATCGAATTAGAAACGGGCCAGCGGTTCAATCTGCTTTGGGCGCTGGTATTCCCGTCGTCGAAAATTGGTTTTGTCTGGCTCATCCCCGCCTAATTAGCCTTAATCTTGTTCGTCATGACTCAATCCTGGGCTTACTCTGGCTAAATCTGGCTTAATGTCCGCGGACGGTTTGTGTAAACCGAACCGCCAAGGCATCGTCGATCCTCGACCCGGGCCGTACCGCGTTGGATTGGGGCCTGAAGGGAGAACAGGCATGATATCAAGGGCGCCCTCGAGGGCGCGAAGTTATTCGCGCTTCGCGCTTCGCAGTTCGGCTCGGATTCCTCACCCTCCTCTTCTCTCCTGGGAGGCGGCGCGAGAGCGCGAAGTTATTCGCACTTCGCGCTTCGCGCAGCGCGAAACGCGAAGTTGGGAGCCCTTGGATATGGTGCATGCGTCCGTGTCGTACCCGATGGCTTTCCCGACGCCGTACCAGACGCCGTACCCGACGCCGTATCCGACGACCTTCCCGACGCCGTACCCGATGGCCTTCCCGACAGCCTTCCCGACGCCTGGCCCAACGCCCGGCCCGACGGCCGACGCGACGTCGCACCCGACGGCCTTGCCGACGCCGTACCCGACGGCCGACCCGACGCCGTACACGACGGCCTTCCCGACGTCATACCCGAGTGCCTTCCCGACGCCCTTCTCGTCGCCGTTCCCGACGGTTTTCGGCCTTCCCGACGTCGTACCCGACGCCGCACCCGACGCCGTTCCCGACGGCCGTACCCCGACAGCCTTCCGACGCCGCGACCGACGGCTTTCCTCACGCACGCACTCCCCGACGCCGCACCGGGGAGGGAGTGCGCTTTCAATTCGTAGGGGGAGGGAGTGCGCTTTCAATTTAGGCAGAATCGTTAGGGGAGGGAGTGCGCTTTCAATTCGGAGCTTGACCGCGGGCTCGCTACGATCGACTTCGGCAATGATCGCACGCGGCGTGGTGCCAGGCGAGGGCCCTCTTTGTGGAGCGAAGCGCTTTGTTCCTGAGCAGGACAATTGGATCTGCCATGTCTGGTGACGAGGCCTTCCTGCCCACGGGTGCCCAGATTCCGAAGTTGCAGAGCAGGGCCATCGCGCGCGCCCGTAGGGCTATGAGAAGGTCTTGCTACTGTGGAGGCTAACGGTCACCAAGTCTCGATTGGCAGTGCAGAAGTGCGCAGGCATTGGGACATGGCCCCGCTCGAAGTGGAATTGAGAGCCCGACGCATCGAGTGGCGCCGGCGCCGGGTGCGGCACCCCGACCGACGTTTGTCAGCGCGGGCCGCGCTCTCTGGCACAATGCAGATTCGGCAGGGCCACGGCCTGCAGATTGTCGGCCAAGGCTCTCAGCTCACTTCGGCGACGCGCCCCTGGGCGAGAAGAATCATGGGAGACGTTGGTTTACTTGCTGATCCAAGTGATGGCGAATGCGAAGATGTAGCCGACTTTAACGGCAGCCCCCTGCAGTTGTTGCAGGAGCCCCTCCTGGTAGATTGGTTATCGGGCTTTGGCGCGGCCAAGCTAGGGGCGCACTGGGTATGCGCAGCGACCCCGCCCCCGGGATTTCACAGACCCGAGGTGGACCGCCCCGCCCCTGGCGGCCCTGAACCTACGCTGCAGCGCACTGTTCCAGGACGCCCGCGTCGATGTCGTGCCAAGCGCCAACTACTTGTGATTATGCGCAGGTAACGCGCGTTTGCGTCGGCCCTGTCCAACGTCTGCTTCGTCTGCGAGAGTGGCTTTGAGAGCCGCGACTCAGCATGCGCACATTTGATTGATTCCTTCGAGATGGGCATTTGCGCAATAACAGGCGTGCGACATTCGGAACGCCGGGCCACGTGGGCGAGCAAACATCGGACCCAATCGGCGCACGAACACATCTTCGCATTCATTTCTCGCAACCTCCAGCGCGGGGCCGTGCCAGCGGGGCCGCAGGCGCCGCCGGCCCAGCAGGCCGCGACCGTCAACGACGCCCCCGTCGCAGATGCTCGCAGGCATCGGCGGCGAACGCAAGACCGACGACAGCGGGGGCAGCCGGCATGCCGAGCGCTCCGAGCTCGCGGAACAGATCACGAAGGAGAGCCACTCGAAGAAAACGGGCCGCTCCACGGCATTGCTGGCTATACTTCCCAAGCTCGGCCTGTCGAATGCGCGCGAGTTTGCCGATCTGACGCGCGCGTGCTTCGCGCGCTTTCCGCTTCCTCCGCAAGCGCCGCTCATCGAGCGGACGCGGACCGCAGGCAAGGCTTGCGCCGAGGACGGCAAGGAGAAGGGGGGGGGCCGCGGGAACGACATTCCGTGGCCGCACGTCTTTCTCGGACTCTTGCACCGCTGCATCTCGCAGGAGACGCTAGACACCGCGGCGCTGAAGGCGCGGCGAATCTATTGGGGCTTCGTGACCAAGCTTCCGGAAGAGGAGGCGCTGACCCACCTACAGGAGCAGATCCGCCACCCCAGGGTGAAAACCTGCTGGTGCGACCGCAAGAAGGGCGAGAAGCCCGCCATATTCAAGCTCCAGTTCACGATGGGCCCCATCTCGCAGGCCAACGCCGTCAAGGATGCGCAGACACAGGAGAGCACACTTCCCCTTCACCAGGCGATGCGCAGGGCCATCCGGCACGAGGCGGGGAGCACCGAGTGGGCGGAGCACCTTCGGGGGCGCTGGGGCGCGAGGCGGAGCGGCTGACGAAGCAGCTCGGGATGCAGGACGACTGGGCGGCAAACGGGAAGAAGGCGGGCTCAGACAGCGAAGACGGGCACTGAACTTGCCACCGTGCGGCTCGTAGCAGTGACAAGATGGCCGAAATGGTCCGAATGGGCCAGCTCTCGGGCAGCTCGTCAGCCAGGTTGCAGCAGAGATTTTCACATCCAATTTTGCATAGTCTGATTGGTTGTAGACTGCAGGTTAAGTGGGAGGGGGTGTGGGCTCAGGTAGCCATTTTGGGTCCGTAGCGTTCGGCTCTGGCCGACGCGCGGGTGTTCCAGGGGGCCGCGGGGCGGCCATAACCACAGCCGTGCTAGTCCGCGGACTTGGTAGCGCGCCTGTGGTGCCATGGCTGTGGGCTTCCTGGGGGCGCACCTGATGATCTTGGTTACGGGCGGCGCTCTTACGGTCCAAGGGGCACTTGGCTGGCTGCCATTCGGGCGCGGGGGACATGAGGTCCCAGCGCCGACGCCGCCAGCCCTGCCCGGGCCGACAGCGCCGCCGGCAGGCGGTGGGGGGCGAGGCAAGGGGCGAGGACCGCCCGCCAAGCCCGCGCCTGCAGGGGGAAAGGGGCGAGGGCCGCAGGCCAAGCCCCCGGGGACGCCGGGCGTCCCACCGCCGCCGCGGTCAGGGTCGACTACAACGACCACGACCGCGGGCATCGGGCGCGTAGGCGAGGGCGAGCCCACAGGCAGCCCAGCTACGCCGGCATACGGAGGTAACAACGAGCCCACGGGCGCGCCTGGGCAGCCGTCCGCCCCGGGAAACCGGACGGGCGATGGTGAGCCTGACCTGCCGCGTGGGCTGGACGGGTATTGGGGGTGGAGTGGTTGGGTCCCGCACCTGCCCCATTGGTGGGCTGGCCGGAGCGAACCCCCACCGCCGCCGCCGCCACCTACACCGCCCCCGGAGGCAGGGCCGGGTCCCGGTTGGGGCTTCGCAGCCTGGGTCTTCGAGGTCGTGGGCTAAGCTCCCCCGACCACCCGGGCACGATCCGCACGAGTGGCGGATGGATTGGATCCGCCGTCGACCGCCTGGGCGTTAAGATGCTTGGGTATTGGTGGGAGACCGCGGTCTTATGCTTTGCCCTTGGCATCTTCACGTTCGTGTTGGGTGCCCTGGCCTTCATCGTCAACACCGCAGCCCAGCCTATGCTGTGGGCTGCCGGGGGACTCCGCTGGGCGTGGTACCAGATTACCCGGTGCTGCCAGCGACGCGGAGGGGATGGGCCCGGCGCCCATCTTCCCCCACCCCCTCCGACCCCCTTGCTGGTGCGCTGGCGCGGGCCGGGCTTGGGCGGCGTGGTGGAGACAGAGTTCTACACAAAGGGGGTCCGCGGCCGAGGGACCAATCGGGCGTGCAACCACGTGCTGCTGCGTAAGCACGGGCAGGTGGCCCG